TTGGAGTTTCAGTCAAATTGTGACTCTGGAAAAACCAAGTTACGGTTTTCATTCTCTTGCTTTCTACCTTCATCCATTTCTTATGAACAGTTTTCCAAGGCCTCAGAGTTGCTCCCTATCTCCTCTTCTTCCTCCTCCGACTCCTTACTGGTGTTCTCCTCCTCCTCCTTCCCCTCCCTCTTTTCCTCTTCCTCCAAGCCTGAGTACAGCTCTGCTGAGCTGGCTTCCTCTTGTCTCTGAAGTCCTGCAGATGACATCAGGTCATGCTTTTCAAGTTTTTCTTCATTTACTGGCCTCCCACTGTCTCCTACCTCAAAGTTTCTGTGGTGGCTCCACAGGGCTGTGGGTCCAGTGGCTGTCCTTGTCCTTGTCACCATAGTCCTCCCTCAGGGTGTAGTGATGCAGACTTTCCTGAGGGGCTCGTGTCCCTAGCACAGCTGCTCTGCACTCTGCCTTTCCCTTGTCTTGTGCACCAATTCCCTTACTTTCTTTTCAATCACTCCCAGTGGTTTGACTCTGTCCTGGTGCTCCCTCCCCATCTCCTGTTGCCTCTGTCTCCCATTCCCAGTGTGCTTTGTCCTGTTTTTCTATAGTGCTTCCAATATTTGTGCTTTCTTTCTTTTTCCTCCAGGGATGCTTCCTTCCTGCTGAATGGATACAATGCCAACGGTTTTTCCCCCCTTTCTCTTTTCAGCTTTATTGTGATGGGTCTTCTCTTTTAGAGACATTTGTTGGGGTGTTTTTACAGCCAGAGAATTACCTTCCACTCCTCCAGCTTCCTCCCTAATGTGTGGTGAGTTCCTGATTACGATCACTAACCGTGATCTCTCTCTCAGCTGTCTCTCATTTGGAGTCCCGGCAAGGGTGACATTTGGAAATACGAAAGAACTTCACTGAAGAACGGCTGTTATCTTTTAAGTGTTTTACTTGTGCTTTCTCCTCTTGCTCCTTCCTTTGTTTCTCTTCCTGGATAGCTCCATCTAAAATTTTCACGTTCCGAGAGTCCCTTTCATCACCTATTTGAGTTGAAACACTGTGGGGTTTCCTAATTTCCTCCGCATGAAGCTCAGCACTACAAGGTTTGGTTCCTGGGCATGGCACCTTCTCTACCCCAAGCACTGCACAGGCGGGACAAGTACAGAGCAGGGTGCAGCAACGCCTACCCAAACGTCCCCTTGGAGCGAAGCCCTTGGGGTCCCCGCAGCTCAGCCCTCCCTACTCCAGTCTCCAGGTCACCACTCAACCTGTGCAACTGCCATAGCCACAGGGTCCCCGAGCCTGAAAACAAACTACTTCAGGAGCAAAGAGCGCCAGTCACTTCCAGTTGCGACACGGAATGATGACGTACGAACACAACGTGAGTCAGACGCTACAGTCCAGGGCCGGAAGCAACAATTTCCGACGCGCATCGCGTCTTTCGTCACTTCCGGAGGCGGATCGTACTGATGACGTTGTCTTAATGTCCGAGCCACTGGGCAAAGATTCCTCAGCCTCCCTCGTCGCTAATTGGTGACGTAATACCCGGGAACTGCACCAAAAGAGTCCCTTCCCGGGGCTCTGGGCTGGACGGAAATTGAAGTGGGCGACCGTTGGGGCCGAGAGCGACTGTCCCGCGGCCCTCGGTATGAAGTACACACATCACATGTATATTTGTAAGCATCTACTCTGTGCTAGGCACTGTTTTAGTGTTGGGTATCTGTCAGTGAACATCAGAGAGAAGATCCTTGCCCTCGTTGGGTTTGTAATATTGTAGGAGTGATTCAGACGTCACGTAAGTTAATTACAAACTTGAGATATTCGTAAGGGAAGCTAAGTAAACAAAAGAGCTCATGTGTTGAAGAATAATTGAGAAGTGGCTCAGGTGGGTGCTGTGAGGTAACACTTTAATAACGCTGAGTAAATATTTTGGGCAGATGAGAGCTAATTTTAAGGGCCTGATTTTGTGATAGAAAGGGTCCTCAATAAAAAGTATGGGACAGTATTGCATACTGAGATCTGCATTGGGCCCAAGAGATTCTCAAAACCAGAGTGAAAGCACTCACGCTAAAACTTCAGATCAGCAAAGGAGTATTGAACTGTTATTTGACCTGAGCAAATGAGAGGCAAAAAGAGATAAATCAATTTCCAAACACTCAGGTTTTAAAGTCACAATAAAATAGTGGTAGTAGTGGGGAGGCTGGAAACAGAAGGATCAGTATGAGTCCAAGCTGTGTAGTGAGACCCTGTACCAAATACATTAAAAATAAAGTAAAGTCGTGGTAATGAATATCCCTTTGCTTTGATCCCTTCAAAAAGTAAGAGGGTGTTAACCAATAAGTATTTTCTCTTGTTTTGCCACTGTTTGCTCTTCTTACAAGGAAAGTAAATTTGAAATGATCATTCTGCTCTCTGTTATTTCTCCTTACTTCAACCCTTTTATATAAACTAACTCTGGTCTAGACGGTTGTGATATTTATTTTATTAATAGAGTGAGGTGGTACCTAATTCTTGGATCACAAAATAGCCAGTTAATAACTTAAATTGTTGTAATTTGTTTTTGATAAGAGAAAGGTCAGGGAGTTGAGAGGAAATAGGTAAGAGAAGATATAAACTCTAAGAGATACGTGAATGCTCTTTATGATTGAGAAGGAATTCAGCAAGGTGGGACGCACTGCAATCTTTTAAGTGGGAACAGGGCATAGTCTAATTTCAAGTGTAAAAGTTTTTCAGGCTACACTGTAAGAAACAGATTGTAGGGAAGCCAGAGCACAAACAGAGGAAAACATGGGGAATATAAATGTTGAAATAGTAGCCTATCAAAAAGTATGTTCATCCAGCATTTTGTTCCCCCAGGGAAATGTTTTACTTATACTGTTAAATGTTTATAAGTAAAGGTCCACTTTCTTTAGTGAACATATACCTTTTTAGATATTAGGAGACAGCACCTCTAGTTACTGTTTGTGGTTGAAGGATTTATGTATTTCATCTAAGTTATCCAATTTATGGCACAAAGCTGTTATTAATAAATTCTTTTACCTTTTATGTTTTGTGTTCTCAGTAGTAATATCTACTCTTTCATTTCTTCTAATGGTGCATTATGTCATCTCTTTAATTCTTTTTTTTTTTAAAGTGTAACATTCAATTTTATTATTTCTTTCTCAAGAGTTTTCTTCAGTCCATTAAGACTCAGCTCCCCTTACATGGGCTTTGGTGGAGGTCGTGGGGCAGCACCAGCAGGTCTAAATCGGGGTGGAGGAGTTCGGTCCTTACGGGCTTCACGAGATCGATTTCTGACCACTTTGCTGTGAATGGCACAACTCACACAATAATGCAGCTTCACATACAGCTTGGGAAGCACATAACCGTCGAAGACACTCGCTTCGGAAATGTCCCTGACGGCGGCGGCCTCCACTATGTTCCGAATGACAAACTTCTTAATAGCCTTATCCTTGGGTACGCACCGGGCACAGTTCGTGCAGCGAATAGGCTGCACATGACCGCGGCCCTTTTTGGCATGACCGTTGTTCCTTCTTTTTTTCGTCATCTTGGAAAAGAGGACCCGAAAGAGCTCTCTTTAATTCTTGATCAGTTTTCAACAGAGTTCTTGAAATTCATCTGTGTTTATATTTTGTCCCAGGTAACTGTGCTATAGGAGACAGCCCTGTGCGTTGTAGACCATATGGCAGTTTCCTGGATCCCACTTTAGTAGATCATAGTGGAGCCTTCTTCCTCACTTGTCAAAGCCAAGATGCTTCCTTGGGGTAATTGTGCCACATCCTTGGAAGTGTCAAAGTGTAGACACCTGAATTCTTGAGGCCAAATGTGAATTTCTATGTAGCACATTTTTTAAGAATTTGACATGAGCAGAGATATTTGACGTGGGAAAAGTAAGTTTGGTGCTGGATCTCAGGTGTTATCTCAGGACCTGAAACAGTACTCACCACCTTGCAAATTCTCTCTGCAATACTTATGCGTTTAGAATGGAAATTGTGGTGGTCCTAAGAAGAAATATTTCTTTCATGATATACTTTCCCTGGTAGAAATACTTCTCAGACTGAAAAGAAACCCTCCATTGCCCACAGAGTAAGCATCAGTTAAAATCAAAATATAAAAAACTTGAGCACTTTCCCACATACAACCAAAAGGAACCCTTGACTTTTTTCTTCTTACCTTCATGTGGGAGAAATACAATGGGACCGTGAAGGAATAGCTCTAGGATAGAGAGCAGGGGACTTGGGAGTAGGTTAAGGCATTTGCTCAGGGACACACAGCAGGGAGGATGCAGCGATGCCATGGAGGCAGGCTGGAGTGAGGGAGTCAGATTCCAGAGTCCATGTGTGTAACTGAGGCAGGGAGCTAGCAGCTTTGGAATAACCATGCTGGAGAGGAAGCCAGGAAGCAGAGGCAATGCTTGGTGTCGAGAGGGGAAAGACAGCCAGATGTTCAAGGGGCAAGGTACACCTTCCAGGCGGCTGTGCAGAGCCTCCCTCTACCCACATCCCCAGTCATACAGATCCTCCTTCCCAGGTTGAAGGTTTTTGTGTCCTGTTCTCCTTGCATTTTTGTCCCATTATGGAACGTGTAGATAAGCTTCCACAAAGAAAAAATATCCTACTATCATCAAGAGATCCAGGAGGGGATGAGTGGAGCTTGGTCTCTGTCTTGTTTACTCTTCTCTCATTGTTGGGACAAAGTACCCAACACCCAAAGTTAAGGAAAGAAAGGTTTATTTAGCTCACAGTTGGTAGAGTTTTCAGTCCATAATCAGCTGGCTCCAAACCAAGGTGGTATAGCACAGGGGCAACAGTTCACAGTGACAGAAGACAGCAAAGCAGTATGAGCAAAAAGTGAGGAAAGAGAGAGCAAGCCTCTCCTCTTATGTTGGATGTAGGATACCTGCTCCAGGGCAGGTGTGGTACTCACACCCGTAACCCCAGCACTGGACCATAAATGAACCACAAACTCTAGAAGCCACCCCTATGACTGTGTGAAGCTTTAGGGTGACATCTAGACACAAACCATAACAGCCTCAAGAAGCAGTGCTGAATTCTTTTTGTTGGGCTACTACTAGCAAGACGTAACTCATTGGAAAATATATTGATGCTCTTGGAAAAAATATTACGAGTTGTCTCTTCATGATTGCTACAATTACATCACATATTTATGTGGATAGATGTGTGAAGTATATTTCACATGGTTAATATACAAAGTCTAGGAAGCAACCAGGACAGGATGATTTTGTAAGCTTATTGAGAAGACAGGCCTCTTTCCAGCCAACATCAACAACAAAACAGCCATGGAAGGCCAGAGGGGTGAATCGTGGAACCCATGTCCAGCAAATAGGCAAGCGGGATGAGCTAGGAAAGCAGGCAGCAGGTTAACACCCATTGGACGTCTGGAGTGAGACGCTGCTCCTACCTGGGAGATGGAGCGCATGGCTCCCTGCACACACACGGAATGAAGGCTGAGCAATTGGAGGACTGTGATGTCAGCACACATTTCTCCATCCCAGAGCCCCCCTGTCTGCTCCCTTATGATGTATTTGTGCTCTGCATTTCCACACCCCTTCCTCCAGCCCCCTGCTCCACCCCCTCCTCTGTGCTCATGTTCCCGCCAGCTTCACACAGGCACACAGTTCCACTGGTTCCAGTCACAGGGCATGGGCACATGGTGCATCTGGGCAACCACTCCTTGAATAAGGTGGTTGTCTCTAGCAGTGTGGGCATAGAGAGGGAAGCCAAGTTTTGCCAGAGTCTGGACCTGGTAAGTGCCAATATGGTAAATGAGGCTCTGTCCCCGGTACTCAGGCACAGTGGCTCCCATTCGCAGCTCTCCAGTGTGGTCCATCAGAGACCAGGACACAGGGGTCCCCTCAGGCCCCAGCAGACAGAAACTGGGGAAGATCCGGATACAACGCTCAATGAATCTCCGGCTTCTTTCGTTGCCACCGAAATACCACCAACGGTTCACCAAAGCAGCATGGATAACATCCAGCGTTGAATATTTAAACATCTCTTGGTCACTGTTGGGAACAAGGACACATTGAAGAACACATATCCTGAGACCCGGTGACCTGGATGTGCACCAACCCCACCTGTGTGATACCAGCCCTCTCCTTGTCTTCTTTCTCTTCTTCTTAGAGTGACCAGAGACGTTGACCCAGCTCACACTCTTGGGCAACCCCTGAGGGCGTGGTGAGTCAGAGGCTGCAGGCACCTAGAGCAGCACTGGGTGCCCAGTGCTGTTGCCATGCTGTAGACCTTTGCTGTCAGGACCCTAGATTACTCCTGCTTTAGTAATCAGATTTTCTCTCGTGAACTGATTCTGGGTTTAGACATTAAACAGCCTTGGCCAGTGCAACATGACAAATGTAATTCAGCCAGAGACTCTAAGTGAGTCTTAGACTCTTAGCAAGGAAGCTAAGCAAGCTCACTAATTTCAAGGAATCCTGAGTGCAGTGAAGAAAGCCAAAATAGGTCATGAGCTGGGAGTTACAGGGAGTAGACAAAGTGGGCTGATTAGCCCAGAACCCTAGTGAGGTGACCTTTCTAGTGTCCAGTAACAAGAGAAGTCATTTGTACAATATGTTTTACTGTCTGTAGGTGTATTTGTGATTTATAATAATCACATTCATCTTGGAGGAGTTGTAGGCATACACATCTCTCATTGGTGAGTTTTACTTCCTCTTCTTTGCCTTCCCTCCCCTCCCATTGCTGTATCTGTTTCTCATCTCCAGAGTCTGTCTTCCTGTTTCCTAGTTTCTCTCTCTTACTTGCATGCTGAAGCTGGGAGGGCGGGGGGAGCCTTAATTGTAAGGCTCCATGGGCCTCAGAGATAGCCCCCAGCTTGCCTGCTTGTGTCAGGAAACTACAGGCACGCTTCCTCTCCCTCTCGGGGGTGCACACAGGATAGGATGGGATTCTGGACTCTGGAGTCTGGGTTCTAGGTGTCCCTCTTATTGTAATGCCCCTTACAAGGTGAATAAGGTTCTCCCAGGCATAGCAACATGCAAGAGCCCCAGGCACAAGCCTCTGCCATTCACATCCACCTTCAGGTCACACCCACTGCTGACACTAAATTCTGTACAGAATTGGATGAAAGCCAGTTTGGGAAAATAGGTGATTTGCTCATACTGTTTTCACTGGAAGCCTTTTGTCTCATGGCATAATTGCATTGCACACATTGCACATGGTGGGTCTTCGTTGAGGACCCACTTGTCAGGCACTGTGCTGGGCCTTGTGGGCCTAGCAGGGAACAGGGTGCATCTGTGCATGTCTAGTGTTTCCATACTGCTTCTGGGAAGATTCAGACACCAAATAAGTGAGTTAATACACACTAGCCAATTTCAAATAAACACACATGCAATGAAGAAAACAAAGCCTGGTCATTTGTGGAACATAATGGTGAACTCACTTTAAGAAGGATGATTTACCCAAGACTCTGGGGAGGAAAAATGTCAACATTTGTGAGTAATAAAAGAAGTAAGTTATAAAACCATTAAATAGGGCTCCAAGACATAGGCTTTAGGCAGGAGCAAGCTAAATTTTATGGTTTTTCCCTGCTTCAGAGGGAGCATGATCCCATCATCATTTTCATTTTGAATTTCTAGAGTCCAAAAACTTCCAACTTACAGGGATGTGGGTTTGTCTCCCTTTTGTGCTAAGTTCTTTTCATCCACCAGAGAAGGGAGCAGTTTCTTTGCTGTGTCAAGTATCATGAAGAGGTTGCACTGCGTGTGCTTGACCTTGCTTGAGTTGATGGCTACAAGATTTTGTATCACAGTATTCAGGCTGGACTGGGAACCTAGTTGGGGGGAAAATCATAGGAGGTGGCATTACTGACTGTAACTTCTGGGACTTGAACCCCATTTCCCAATGGTGTTGAGAAATATGTAGCTCCAGAGTCATCACACAGTGCATTGGTCAGATTTTAAGAAAGTGGGACACAATACCCAACTCCTTCACCTTGAAAGAGAGGTCTCACTTGATTCCTAGTAGCAGGGAGTTCAGCCCATGGCTTGAAGCTCAAGGGCTGAGACATCTTGGTGGAAGAGTGTGGCTGATTATGGTGTTTAGTTCAGCATGGTCAGGAGGTAGAGGAGGTGTGCAGGTGTACAGTGCCAGAGGCCATAAAAAGAACCCAAAGACAGACCTCCACATCCCACCCAGACTCACCAAGAGCTGTGCATTATGAATCCTCTCTGCACTTCTTTCTTTCTTTCTTTCTTTCTTTCTTTCTTTCTTTCTTTCTTTCTTTCTTCTTTCTTTCTTTTTGTGGAACTAGGGATTGAATTCAGGCCTTTGCACTTGCCAGACAAGCTCTTATTCTACTGAGCTATCTCCCCAGCCCTCTCCTCTGCATTTCTTGATTTAGTAAACCTCACAGATTACAGTTAACACCCACCCTCATACTTTGGGATCAAGCATTAGAGGGGTTTTATGTAATAATGATTAAATATTTTAGATTAAGATGTGGGAGAACTTCTGCTCCACTGCACCTGCTGGACCCTCCAGACCCACCCAAGGCCTGGCATACAAGCCTGGTGTGAAGTTCTTCAGCTGAAGTCCCTGAAGAGAGGCTAGGGACCAGAACCACCCAGCTAATCCAGGATGAGAACATCTTGACAGAGGGGTACAGCAGGTTCATTTCCACAGGCAGCATCAGGAAGAAGCTGAGCACAGCAGCTAGACCTCAGCCAGGTATATCAGGACAAGTTCAAACTTCACAGATCCAGACCCGATGACCTGAGACACTTTGCTAGACCCAAATCTATGAGAGCATCCTCCCTCTTTTTCTCTTGACTGAGAGTGGGGGCAAAAAGTAACTGGGGTAAACTAGTCTGCCTAGAAGACCCCAGGTACATCAAGGGGAGGTGAACAGACAGAACTCATGATAACTAGCTTAAATACAAATTCCCAATTTAATATCTGCTTGGCTATACTATATAATGCTTTCTCTTACTGTCTAAAATACAAACCCATTAGTTACAAAAGATTGTCAACTGTGAAATGTCACTACCCATTATTAGTGTTCCTACTGTAGTTCTATAAATACAAAACTATAACTGCCTAAACCATATAATCTCTCTTGGGTAAGAATTTTGCTAGGTGCTAAAGTTATAACTGTACCAAAGCTCTATACTAATGGTAAGAGGACAGTGCTATACAAAATGACAAAGAGAAGGAGTAAAATTCAATCTGAGGCACTGAACAAATGAAGGAGACACTAACATAGAAGAAATTGGGAATCACACAGCTGAAATCTGTGAATTAATAATATCTAAAGTAAAGAAACAACTGCAGAAAGATATAGAGGAAATCAGATAAGAAATAAACTCTGAAATAAAAAAGGAAATCTCTGAATTAATAGCAACTGAAGTAAAGACTCAAATACAGAAACATATAGAGGAAATCAGATCAGAAATAATCTCTGAAGTAAAAAAAGAAAGGATAACTATAATGAAAGAATAACTTCTTCAAAAGAAGACACTGATAAAAAAAGAGGTGATTAGAAAAATGATAGAATCATTCAATGAACAATATAGGAAAGAAATAGATCACAAGAAGCAGAGTCAAAGAGATATACAGGAACTTTAAATCTCAGTCACAAGCTTGCAAAACTGTTCGAATGAGAGTGAAGATAGGCCTTCAGATCCTGAAGACACCATCACAGCTAGTGAAAAGGTAAGAAAACGTCTCTTAAAAATGACTAGGATGCAGGAAAAAAATAATTCAACATCTGCAAGATGATGCAAAGATGAACAATGTGGGACTAATAGGCATTGGTGAGAAAGAAGGAGTCAATACAAATTATATAAAAAGGATGCAGAGGGAAGTAATAGCAGAAAACTTCCCAAATATAGGGAAACAATCTGACATTCACATAACCAAAGCATATAGAACTCCAAATAACATTAACCCAATTAAAAACACACCCAGACATATAACAGTGAATATCCCAGAAATCCAGCACAAGAACAATATACAAAAAGATGCTAGAGAAAGGAAACAGATCACATTTAAAGGAAAACCCAACAGAATAATGGCAGACTTCTTCACAAACCGTGAAGTCAAGAAGAGCATGGAGCAGAGTACTTCAAGTCCTCTATGAAAACAAATTCCAGCCCAGACTACTATACCCTACAAAACTTTCTTTCAAGTTTGATGGAGAAGGGAAATACTTCCATGAGAAAGAACAACTAAAGAATTTCATTATCATAAAACCAAACCTACAGAAACTACTAAAATATGTTCTAGAGAGGGACCAAAATGATCAGAATTCCATGAATGAGAACAAAAGGAACCCACTAAATATGGCAAAGAACAACTAAAGAATTTCATGATGACAAAGTCAACACTACACCTACTACTAAAAGGTATTCTAGAGAGGGACCAATATGACCAATACTCCACAAATGAGTATGGAAAGAACCCACCAAACAGGGCAAACAATTAAACGCAGAAGGAAGAGGAGTAAACAACAGCAGGTAAATAACATGTCAATCATAAGTCAATAACATCTCAATCATAACCATCAGTGTAAATAGACTCAATTCACCACTTAAAAGAAATAGACTAACAATGCATTAGGAAGCAAAATCGAACAATCTTCTGCATACAAGAAACACACTTAACTCATAAAGAAATTCATAGGATGAAAGTCTAAGAATGGAAAACAATACTACATGCCCCAGCACCTCAGAAGAAAGTAAGGGTAGCAATTCTGTTTGCAGACAGTCTCAACTTTATCTTTTTCAACTTCAAACCAAGAATGATCAAATGAAATAAAGAAGATCACTACATACTGGTTAGGGGAAAAATTCAAGAAGAGGTAACACTTGTAAATATGTATGCACCAAACACAGGAGCATCCAACTATATAAGACAAATCTAAATGGACATGAAAAATCTAGTGTATAATACCACAATCTTCACAGGAGACCTTAATACCCCCTTATCCCAAAAAGATAAATGAAGCAGACAAAAAATTAGCAAAGAAGTAGCAGAACTGAATCAAAGCTTAGAACAAATGGACTTAGTGGACATATGCAAAGTGTTCCATCCAACCACAGTTGGAAACACATTTTTTTCAGCTGCACATGGAATATTTTCTAAAATAGATCACATACATAGGTCATGCTTAAGTGTCCGCAAGAAAACAGAAATTATCCCATGCATATTATCTGACCACAGTGCAATGAAACTCTAAATAAATGACAAAAGAAACCACAAAAAGTGAATAAATGCATGGAAATTAAACAACAACCTCCTCAGCAACTAGTGGGTCACAGATGAAATTAAACAAGAAATTAATTAATATCTACATTACAATGAAAATTCAAGCTGAAGATACCGGAATTTATGGGATGCAATGAAAGCAATTCTAAGAGGGAAATTTATAGCTGTAAACTCACACATTAGCAAAACAGAATGGGAACAAATAAATACCCTAATGCTGTACTTCAAATGTCTAGAAAAGGAAGAGCAAATCAAACCCACAGCCCAAAGATGGGAGGGAATTATAAAGATTAGAGCAGAAATTAATTCAATCCAGACAAAGAAAACAATAGAAAGAATTAAAGAATCAAAAAGCTGGTTCTTTGAAAGATTAAATAAAATTGATAAGCCCCTAGCTGACCTCATCAAAAAGAGGAAAGAAAAAACTCAAATACAAGCAACAAGGAATGAAAAGTGTGAAATTACCACAGACCCAGTGGAAATTCAGAAGATCATCAATAGGTATTTTAAGAATCTTTAGGGGCTGAGGGGAGAGTTCAGTGGCATAAGAATCTTTACTCTCACAGAATAGAAGACACAGAAGAAATGGACAGATGTCTAGAAAGGTGCAAATTACCAAAACTGAATCAAGAAGATATAACAACTCTCAATAACCCAATAACAGCCAATGAAATAGAAAATGTAATAAAAACTCTACAGACAAAGAAAAGTCCAGGTCCTGATGGATTTACAGTTGTATTCTGCAAGAAATTTACAAAAGATATATCCCCAATACTCCTGAAACTCTTTAATGAAATTAAAAAGGAAGCAATCCTCCCAAAATCATTCCTGGAGGCAAGTATTATACTGATATCAAAACCAGGGAAAGACACAACTAAAAAAGAGAACTATAGGCCAATCTCCCTCATGAGAATAAATGCAAAAATCCTCAATAAAATCCTAGCAAAAACAATACAGCAAATGATGAAGAAGATTATACACCATGACCAGGTAGGATTCATCCAGGGATGCAAGGATCTTTCAATATACACAAATCTATAAATGTAACACACTGTATTAATAAAGCCAAAACCAAAAACCACACTATCATCTCACTTGATTCAGAAAAGTCTTTTGACAAAGTCCAACACTCATTCATGTTCAAAGCTCTACAGAAAATTGGAATAGATGGCCTCTACCTCAATCTGATAGACGCAATCTATGACAGGCAAACAGGCAACATTCTATGTTTTTAGAGGGACTGGTTCTTTATTTCAAAAAGGCACTTGTCAATATTCAGTATCAAAACAGTTGCACTACTGGGTCTTCTTTTTCCTGACTGGTCCCAGAGACCACAACAAAGGAGCATACATTTTAAGCCAGTAAGCTGCAGGATGTGCACTTAACAGACCTCACAGAGACCTCACCTCAAGTGGGGACTGGGTGGGGAGAAAACTTCAAAAGATCAGCACACTGCCAGCCCACAGACTGGAGAGAACTCTTTGCAGCCAGGTGGGGCAGTCATGCACTCCAACCCTAAAGAAGCAAAATTTCAAAATAATATAAAAATTTAAAGGTTTTGTACAT